GACTAACCGAAGGAGTGGTCGTAGGTATCCCGATGGTCTCACATGTGATGAGGTGATTGATGAGCTTATGTCCCACCGGATCAAACATGAGATTGAAGTATCGGAGGAAGTCGATGCCGATTATATTCTGTGGAAGGTCGGCGATAATGAATACGTAGGGTAAGCTACGGCGAATACCGAAATTCAGTGTGAGTAAACGCTCGTCGTAGGTTTTGATGGGTGTGCGATTCGCAGTGACCAGGTCTCCTGTAGAGATACGATGGAGATCAGCTAGACGAGGGCGAATAACGCCGACCTGTGCGCTTGTGTCTAGCAAGGAACGTATCCCGGTATTTCGATCAGTGACGAAAAACAGGCAACTTGGTTGTGGCAAGTCAGACACGGTCATCGCCTGGACCGGCCGGCTTACCGGTTCCCCGATTTGGGGTGTAGGTGCATGGCGTGAAACAACTCTTTGCGGCGTCATCATAATGACGGTGATAACAGCGAACTCCTGTAGACGGTCAGCGTGAGCGTCGAAGCATAGAGCTGCTGCTCCTGTGGTTGGAGCTTGTTCGACGGCGTTGTCGTGAGCGATCACCAGACAGCACCAACGCTTGAACCTGTGCTACAGGTTCGGCGTTGTTCGAAGAGAATGGTCGTTGCGCGGGCTGTATAATGGATTTGAACGACAATCGGTTGGTGTACACCCTGTCGGCCATTTCAGCTAGTTGAGTCAGCGAGTAGCGTTGGCCGAATTTTTGACGTGCTCTCATTGAAAAGTTATTAGGCATATCAGTTGTGGTATATCACTCGTTTTTGTTTACCTTTACACATTTCCTCTATCCATTCCTCAAAAAGGAACTTATAAATCCAAGTTTCCCGCATTTAACACGGCTAGAAAGTGTTCTCTTAATCTTCGTGTTTTTTTGTCAAATCTATTTCTTTCTGAACTGCAAGTTTCATCTCCTTACCCCATACCATCTACTCTGCTTCATAGCCAACGTAGCTCTGAAGACTCGGATGAGAGTACTCTCCCCATGCGGTATAGTCCCTCAGACATAGATGCTGATACCCTTCGAATGCGTCTTAACGAAACCATTAGAGAGAACCCCAATCCGCACCTGAACGAGCAGCAAAGTCACACGCGAAGGAGATAGCAGAAATGAGGGTTCACATTTCAAGGCTCGAACAACAGCTCTCGGAGCTTAGGTTTGTCATTCATAATGAGCTCCAAACAACCAAGGCCGCCTCGCAACCGATTACGATATATTAGATATCCAAAAAGCTGACTATTGAAGAAGCTTGCTTAGGGAAGGTGATATTATGGGGCCGTTTTTCTAAGAACCAGACTCGTGCCCAGAAGGTAAAATTCCTCCTTGGAAACCTCGCCTCCCCGAAAATACTTAACCCCTGCAGCTCCACGTGGTTAGTCTCAAAACATAAACGGGTGCTGGGACTAGTTGTGGGGTTTAACCACTTATCCGTGGTTACGGACTGTATTGCACAAATACAGAAAATCTAGTCCAATGACAAACTGACGATAGGAGTGGCACCAAACAAACCCATCCACATAAGGCTGCCACCATCTTCCCCTAAGTGATGGCAAAGAGACAATAAACTTTTAAAGAAGGCTGTAGTCAACCTCACGGACTTCTTATCCCTGCTGACAATCTGACCTCTCACAGACCCATTTTCGAAATATCCTCTGTCCCTCTAGCCTGCAGCTCCCCGAAGAAGAACGGTGAGCCTACTCTCACTGCTGACAGGAGCTTCCTCAAACCGTCTTCTAGGCTGAATAATGAGCAAGCAAAACCCGTTTGCATAAAAAAAACCAAAAGTTTGTAAACAGAACGTGCACTAAACAGGAGAAGTTGCAACCTGCTAAACGGGGAATCCTGAGGAGTCCACCACCGCTTCCCATTCATCAAGCCGCTCCTTCTCTATGGACCCACAGAGCATTGAGCGCCTCATCCTCCCCGCGTAAAGCAGATAAAGCACCCAAAACCCCCAGGAACTCCTCGTACTCGGACCACAGGAAGCCAAAATGTGCGCAGGAGCCAAAACACCAAATGATGAGCAAGGGGAGG